AAAGTGGTGATTAATAAGGCCAACACAGAGTCCGTACTTAAAAATGCTGTCAAATATATTATTGACAAAAGCAGGTCTATGGTTTTATAATGAATATTATCCAATTGTTAATTCCTACAAACACTACAAGAGTAGGGGGCTGGAAGTCCTGATTCCCACCTCCACCCCACCATAATCATTCTCACATCACTTTACTTGGGCAGGAAGTAAGTGCAGTCTCATTTCTACTCTACTCGGACTTTCCAGCAGACTATTGCTGGTATGAGCCAGGCCCACACCTCCAAAGCAATGAGTTAAGCACCAAATGATGGCATTTAAGCCTAAGCCAAGTAAGTTTATGTGCTTGATGTGCTATCTAGTGTTAGAACTTCCTTGCCTGCACAGCACAGCTGCATGTGCATGCAATAGTTACAATACCTGTTTTCTTATGCACGTACATCTCTCACAGGAATCAAAGATCTGATTGATGGTTCCCCTCAACTGGCACATGAAGTACTCTGACTATTGGTGCTGCTGACCAAGGGTCTCAGGTATTCAAATCTCATCATCTTAATCACCTTTACATCCTGCTTCTCCCACTCCTGTAGCCACCCTTAACTCCTCATGCTGCCAGTTCCACATTATAGTTGTGTGCCCTTCTCACTTTTAGTGTCTACATGTGTTCAAGGACAAATTAGTGAATGGGAAATCCACAAAACATTATCAAATATGTAGAAAGGCTGGGGAGCAGCTAGGGAGAAGCATCATAGACATTTGACTTGCTGCTATGGTCTTCCAATAGCTACTTCTTCATTTTACACCAAGCTATCTATCTTTACTAAATAAATAGTTACTCAACTAGTAGGACTCTACACCTGCCACAGACTCTTTCACACAGCAGGCTTCAGTTCCTGATAATTCTGATTGCCCTGGAGCACCCTGAAGCTGGCTATCACCACACCAGGGATGCTTGGCACTTGCTCTTTGACCTTCTGCTGCATTTCCTCATTAGTCTTGCTCCAGGATTCACGCTTGGTCCGGTCCATGCTTGAGAACTCAAGAACCTCTCATCTGCTTCTCTCCAGAGGACTACCTCCAGTTCATTTGCTTCCTGTCATAGCAGGACTTTCTTCTGGACTAAGCAGCATCCATTTGGGGTCCTGCCCTTTCCAGTCTTTCCATAGCATCTTAGCCTCTGTCCCTACGTGCTGAAGCAAGCACTCAGTGCAACTGGGATCTCTCGCTACTGCCTCAGGACCTTGTTGCTCTTGTTGATGTCTCACAACACTTTCCCTTCCAGTTTCCTTCAGCATCTACCCATTCTGTAATGTCCTGGCTCAGCTCAACAATACACAAAACATGGGCTAGATGTGCCTTCAGTCAGACTATTACTGCTTTAATACGTATCTGTCTTGACCCTTCCATGTTCCTTCATCTTTTTTCCCCAGAAACCTGCATACTCGCAAGAAGTTAAAACAAGTAAGCGTATAGAAATTCTGGTGTTTGCTTTCCTCGGTGTCTCACAGCACATCTGCTAAAAGTTAACTTTCTCTTCAGCACTCCTATAACCCCTTCTGGAAGTAGTGCTTTTGTTGGGGATCCAGTTGGCTGCCCTTCCGCAGAAGGAAGAGGTGTGTGCCAAGAAGCATGGCTGGGCAAGGCCAAAACCCTCCCTCTTAAGCCTCTTTTATCACTGCTGAGGGCTCCAACAAGGGCCATGCCCATGTGATCAGGAGCTCTGAATGCAGTGGCATTGCAGGAAGTGGAGCCCAGAACTCTGCAGGGAAACACCAGGCTGCCAGAGGCTGCTCTGACATCTCTCTCACAAGTAAATCACCAGTCCACAGGATCTGAGAGATTCATGACCTGCTCATACAAAGTCAACCATCTTTGCTTTTTTAGGCATAAAATAAAATCTTTTTCATAATAACACTGATATAACAGTTTCTGAAACTTTTTCTATAAGCCCTTGAAGGGAGAATAAAGTTGCATGTTAACCTGTTTCACAAACCTGACATCTCAGTACTGTTAACCAGGGAGCCTCTGATGGGATTATAATGCAGCTCAGTTAGGAAAGGTACATTTTCTTTACTACTAGTGAAAAGACAAGCGAGTAGTTAATGTTTTACTAGTATAAACAATTTAACATATTTCCCTGATTTTTGGTAAAGCTACAGGAAGAAACAAGAACAAACTGACTGATTTCGGGCAGGTTTGTCTGGAACAACATGTGAATGCTGCATTGTTGTCTGCAGACCTGCTGTTCCTACCAGGACAATCTCTTCACCAGCCTGACCGAATTACAATACAGCCCTACCACAGTATTCACAGTTCTATGAAGGGTTGTTTTTTTTTTGTTTTCTTTTGGGGACTTTTCTTTTTTTTTTAAAGGCATAAAAAAAAATTAAATGACTTTTTTAAGGTTGCCCCCCAGGCTAAATCCACACCAGAAGCATTACTATGACTGTATCTTCTGCAGACATATCTAACCTAGCATTAAATGTTGCCAGTAGCCTAGGGTCAGCATCATAGATGTGCAAAGCCCCACACTGATAGCATTCTCCAAAATCAGTGGCAGCACTAAGGGTGAAACTGTTAGGCTATCTTTACTAGTAAATAAAACAGTCTAGACACTTTTTTGTAGCCTGAAGCAATGCAACATGGCCCAGCACATGTACACAAAGCTAAACTGTTCTCTTTTGCCTCCAGACATGATGGTCTTATCTGAACCCCCCATTAGGAAAGGTCTGTGGCATACAATCTTTTTTCTTTCCTGCAATACCGCTAGCTGGCATGGACAAAATCTGTGCCATGGAGCATTGTAACCATTTAACAAGACGCATGATTGCAGGTCAGTGCCCTGGTCCTGTTCTGCTTTCTAGTAGAGACATAGACTATGGGTAATGGCCTTCTAAAGCCTTTTAAAAGGCTCTCTGGGGCCACGCCAGCTTATCTGTTTCAGTTGCTTACCCCAGTGCATCCTCAGGCCTTGGCAGAGGAAAACAGCACTGCTCTGCACCTCACTTACAAATAGGTAAAAAAATAGGTAAAAGGCTTCTTTCCTTGGAAACATCGAGCCATGGACATTTCTAACGTAACACAGCACATTAGCCATGTCAAACAACCAAAGAACTATATTAGAAAACAAAACAAAACTAATAACCATGGCTGCCTAATTTGTGTCAGGATTTGGAAATGAGAAGGAACTGGGAGAGTTAAATGGGATAATTTGGGGGAAAAGTCCCCAGTGGATCCTGGGGTGAGGATGTGTTGTGGTTTAAGTCCAACAGGCAACTAAACATGCAGCTGCTCACTCACTCCCCCTGCCTCTAGTGGGATGAGGAGAAGACCCAGAATAAAGGTACGTGTGGGTTGTGAAAACAGTTTAATAGTTGAAATAAAGTAAAATAACAGTAATAAGAAGAACAACAACAATAATAAAAGGGGGGGAACAATAAACAAAAAAATCCCTGCAAAAACCCTAAGAGATGCACAATATGATTGCTCACCACCCACTGACTGATGCTGAGCCAGTCCCTGAGCAGTGGTCAGCAGCTCTTGGCCAATTCTCCCCAGTTCCTATATAAAGTATGACGTGCTCTGGTACGGAATACCTCTTCGGCTAGTTTGGATCAGGTGTCCTGTCTCTGCTCTCTCCCAGCTTCTTGTGCCCCTCCTCACTGGCAGAGCATGAGACTGAACAGTCCTTGATCAGGGTAAGTGCTACTGAGCAACAACTAAAACATCGATGTGTTATCAGCACTGTCCTCAGACTAAAGCCAAAACATGGCACTGCACCAGCTACTAGGAAGGAAATCAGCTCTGTCCCAGCTGAAACCAGGACAGGATGTCCTGTCATAATGATAAGCTCCATCAGAGACATCCCCATTCACCTCTTCCTTCCAGGGATATGGCAGGGGCCTCCCCAGCTGGTTTGTTAAACCCAGCCATGTTTAACAAAGGCATATTCCTTCTCTGTGATATTAGGCAATGTTGGTTTTGGAAAAACACACTAACGTTGTGCATATGTTTTTATCACCATTTGCAATAGCATAGTCCTATAAACTGTAAAAAGTTAAAAACAAAACAAATGAAAATCTGAAATATTTCTGAAATTTCAGCTTTCTGTGATTCTCCAGACCAGAAATAAGTATGGATAAAATACAGTTCTCTCATTCTCCTGGTTTTATTGCTAACATACGCATTGCAGACTGGATCCAACACTCACTGAATTTAAAAGGAGATTCAACACAAAGGAAATGGCCTCAGTGTCCTAAGTAATGACATGCACATTTTGAAAACCTCAACATCTATGAGCTTTAGGCTTCTTTGACTTAGTGCTTAAAAATAGTGAGAACAATAAGAGAGAAACTATGTGCCTAATTGCATTTATTAAGGGTCAGCTCAGTTTTGAATCTACCTTTTGATTTCAGTTGGAAAAAGCTGCACAATTCAATTAGGATTTGATGATACCAGCACCGATGCCACGGGCACAACCCATATCCCCTCAGGAAGAGCAATTCCTTCTCCACTGAAAGGCCTGATGCACATTAGCGCAATGGTTTATGGGCTACTAAAAGCTTTTAAATTACATGTTTCCAGGCTAAGAGGGTATGCGGGGGAAGAAAATAAGAAAAGTAAAAATCAGAAAATACTCCATCTGAAGTATATGGAACACCAGCTTCAATTGAATTAAACTTCCTGCTGCCCTGGTATCCTACAGATAGTTGTTCATGCCACAGGGATCTCTGACCACTAACGAAAGCCAGCACATACCTCCACAGCCTCTCAGCCTTCCCATTTGTTCTCTGCAAATTTGGTCCTCTTCATTGCCTTGTTTTCTCTGCTCCTTAACACTCCACATCCCAAGCAGCCCTTCAGCTGCCAGCCAGTCCACAGGCACACACAACCTGACCTCACCACTGGGAGATGGCAGCCACTTTTGTGAGGAGAAGACTCACGACCATGCACTGGACAGCCATTTTGTGGGTACCAGCTCCACAGGTGTTGGCCTGAGATGGCGGCCATTTTATCTCACGGAAACTGGGCAAATGGCCACACACCCTTCTGTCCTCCTCACGGTTTGAAACCCAGAGGATCAACTGTAAGAAAGGGAACCAAAGACAAGTGAGGTGAGTTGTTTAAAATAATGGAGGCACTCTCCTTTGTGGAGGAAACTGTGCCCAAATCTCCCAGCGTTTCCCTAGCTTCAGCCATTGCCTCATTTACCCTGACCAGGCTGAGGCGAGTGTGATGGCAGCACCTCATCCGGGCAGTGGAAGCCAGCAGGGCTGGGGACACTGGGGGCCAGAAAGTGAGCCGGGGGTGTGCACAGAGGTGCATTTGGAGACAAGGGGCTACCATTCTCTGTGTGTGTGTGTGTGTGTGTGTGTGTGTGTGCGTGGGCCGAGCATGAAGCCCACATTTGTCACATGCTGAGGTCAGGCTGTGGGAACGTAAAAGAAGTGGAACCAGATCAAAAGCGGGGTTTGTGCTGTTTGTTTCTCTCTCAGATCTCAGCTTTTGAAGTATATGTCAGACAGAGCGTGCTGCAGAATAGGAGTACTGGAGATTATGCAGCTGCAAATGAAGTAAGAATCAGGCATGAAGCTCTGATTTACCTTTTTAAACACTTAAGTTAGACTCTGAATGGTGGAAGCAGGAAAGTTACAGAAAAAAGCCTTATCGTAAGAGCACCTTGATTTTTAAGGAAGAGAATATTCCTTTGGGCGGGCATGACATGACAGAGTGAATCTGAAGAACAGATCCCTGAAATTAGGCTTGCTGAAAAGTACTTGTAGAGGAAATTCAGCTGTGGTTTGAGAGCACAAGGCCTTCTAGGAATTAATCTGATCTCCCATCTCTGCTTGGCATTATGTCAGAAGGAAAGGAGCTCAGAGGTGAGCTTTAAGCTGAAAGTATCAGATGGAGGTTTTGCTTCTCTGTCCCCTGTGAGACTTAGGAAAGCACCATATTTATAAGCAGTAGTTTTTGACACAACTTGAACATATTAAAAATGCACAAATAAATCTGAATCTGTTTAGTAACTATTCTTCACAGTGTGACAAATAATGTTTCAATATTTGCATACCCAGGCATAGTAAACTTCTTAAAAAATAAGCCTAAAGCATTATTTTTGCACCTACATCAATGTCTTGCTTTTCAGATATCCAAGGTGCCCAGCCATCATCACTGACTCCAGAGGAAGCTCTTGGAAGCAGATCAAAAAAGAGGAGGGGAAGAAGGGATCACAACAGATTGTGGAGCCAGATCCTGCTTTCTGATTACTTGGGCCCAACACAGCCACAACGCACCCAGGATTTTGTAATGGGAATCTCCAAAATGAACAAATGGCTTCCAGCTCTCTTGTCTGTATAGCAGAGAATACAAAAATCAAGCAGCCAGCAGCAAACAAACATTTACTTCTTTCTTGGCTGCAAAATGAATGATGACACATTCTTCTGCATCTGGGGCCTGATGCAGCAGGAACAGAGATGTGAAGGAGTACATCATGACAGTAATTCTTTGGCAGAACAAGGAGTTATATCAAGGGCAATGCCACACTGTTTCAGAAGGGTGTTCATCCCACACACAACTATCTGGACCCTTGTGCACACAGAGCAGCTGCTGAAGAACTGCACAGCAGTTCCTTTTCCTCTGAAGCTTGCTCCTATTATGTCTCTTTCACCTCCAAGAGAGAGAAAAAGCCCCCATAGGACTGCATATTTTAGTGGTATGACATGACCAGGAGCTAAATGCCATATGTTTTCTGTCTTAGTTGTAAGAATAAATGTTGAAGGCAGCAGACATGGGTTGTTACATGTTCCTGAGGCTTTTAAGCTTCAGGAAATTAATTAAATAAATATATAAAATAAAGCCAAAAGGGATTGCTAAGCATGGTTTTGCTTTCCACACTTCACTTTCTGCCACTGGGCCACTGAAGCCTGGAATCCACTTCTCCACAGAGGGGAAAGGTTTAAGCACCGTGAGCAAGAGACAGACAGCGATTATTTTTCCCATGTTAAACAAAATAAAGCATACTTGCTAGATGTCACTTGTGAGGGCAATAGCATATACATGTCACCCTTCACACCTCAAATGAGATGAATACCTGTTAGATTAGCACTTCAATGTTATCACAAGCAACAAAGTGGCATCAGAATCTGCAGCCATTCTTTAATGAGTTTGAACAGTGAGGGAAGAGCAGGTGCTGCTGGTAGAGGTGATGGCTTAGAACTCATATAACCTTCATTTGGGGCTGGCTGACTTGACCAGAAGTTGAAACATATGGCCATTTATAGGTATAGGTTTAACATAATGGAAAAAGCATTGCTCGTTTGCTGAGCTGCTGAAAGAGTTTGCATGTGGAAATTTGGGAAGATACACATGCAATAATTCCTATTCTTTTTTTTTTTTTCTGGAAAAGCTGAAGGGAAGTATTATAAATAAATGTTATGAAAAAATATGCCAACTGCTGCATTAAAATGTAATTTGAAATGAAACACATAAAAATTATTTTAGAATGTTAGGGGATTGTGAGAGAGAAAGACAGGAATTCCTAACAAACGGGAATGAAAACACGGTTCTACCAGAGATGAAGCGCCATCTGGCACCCCAGAAAGAAAACCAGATTTTGGAGCTCCCTCTGCTGGACGCAGTTACTTTGGGTTTGCTTTTCCTCTGCACATCTCGCACAGAAACTTCCAAAAAACAACCACCTTTTCAGCAATAAACTGCACCATTTCCCGTGAACAAGTGATATCAAGGAAGAAGAGATTTTATTTCCTCTACATAAGAAAAGAAAATGCATGTAAACCAGTACTACTTGCTCTACAACTGGAAAAAAAATCACAAGTGGGATTTGAAGGTTGACTGTGCTACTGGTGGGATTTCTTTTGCTATATTTTCTCTCTTTTTTTGAGCAGGGAATTCACACTTAACAAAGCTTCCCCTGCCCTTTGTTCTCTTTTTTCTCGCTACCAAATCAACGGGGAATCAATAAATTACTGTTTAAAAAAATAAAAGAGGACATTCTCAATAACACTGCAGCAGGAACAAGCCTTAGAGGCAGTGCTATTACTCATGACACACATGCAGCAAAGCTGACACAGTTATGATAAATTCACATCAAAAAATGTATCTGTAGGTGTAGTTGGGCAGTGCCCCAAATGTCTGGTTTAGTTCCTGGTGCCCAGCAAGACTGACATTTTGGGGTGGGAGCTTGGAGCATGTCAGAAGTGTGTCAGTTCAGGCAGGGTGCCGTTTTAAACAGTCATCTTAGGATGGGACAAAGCATGCTGTGGAAGGAGATTGCTTTCTTTACCGACCATAAAATGCATTTAAATGCCTTCCTCAAAGGGGTCTTTTGTCAGTTTTTATCACCTCTGCTCCTTTATTCTTCCAGCCTTTTGTCTGCCTACAGGCAAGACCTCTGGCTTCAGCTACTCCAGTGTATCAGCTGCTCTGCTATAGTACAATCATTTAGCTCAGCGACTGCCTAACCAGGCTAGTGTGGAACATACTTGGCACAGCTTGTTGGCAAGCCTGGACACACAGGACTTCACAGACATGAAAAAGCAAAAATAAGACCTGTTTATTGTCCCAGATCCAGCACTCATAAGTTTTATATAGACATTTATATACATATATATGTAGGCATTCCATTCATATATAATGGCTACAAACTCACAGTAAAATAGGTAAGAAGTGAAAGACCACTCCTGGGGATATGTGTGTCTCTGCTTTCAGGAGGCTGAGATATGGCAGTGAAAAGAGCTATGTGAAAAGAAGTGATGGAGGTTGTGAGATCAGCACTGAAAAAAGTTAAAAATGAGAATGGGGCCACTGAAAATGAATCAAAGGTGGGAGAGCAAAGGAGGCAGGAAGGCTTAACATCACAGACTGGGGAGAAGACACCACTGTAGGAACAAAGGAAGACCGCTACCACATCTTACAATCCTTTCTCTGAGAACTCCCCCCTCACCCCCTGCATCACAGAAAGGAAGATGAGAAGTCACTTTTACTGCTTTTTCCAGACAGGCAAAGGAAGTGTCTGATGCTTTATACCTTCTTGTTATTTCTCATCTTTTATTCCCGTAAGCACAAGCCTTCCACTTTTAACATTAGGTTTAAATACTTTGCTGAAAATCTTGAACTCTATATAATAAATTTTGGCCATTGACATTATTCACTGCTATATTGTGAATATTGTTCAAGATGTTATATTGCAAATATTGTCCAAGATGTAAGTATACCAGCAGGGCTAACTCAATGCCAGCAGTGGCACGGCTGCTACAAATCGAGAGAGAGCTGCTTAAATCAATACAGTACTAAACAGACCACATTCCACTTTAATAATTACATTAGACTGTGGAATTTAGAATGTTATTTTAGTGACATTGGCTCTTTGAATATGAGATCATGTCTGATAACTTCATTCAACTTTATTTAGTTTACTCTGTTCAAGAAGAGTCATAATAGGGATGTAGTCTCCAGGACAGCTGTTAAGAGACTAGTATTTATTTCCTGCGTATTGTTACTTGACAGAGGATAGTCTTACAGAAGGGTAATACCAATGTTTAAGGTTAGGGGTTGGTGTGCATTAATTCTAGGAGTTTCATCCTTTTATCCTCCCTCCCTCTTTAAGTATCAAATGCAAATGAAATATACAGTTATTAAAAATACCAGGTTGAGAATTAATCACAAGGAAAGAGATCTAATAAGGAGAACAGGATAGATAAAGTGAATAAAAAGAGATTATTCTTCTCTTTATTCAGTACTGGGGCTTGATGGCATGCAGGTCAACAATTGCTTCATGTCTTCAGGGTACTATTTTCACGGCTGCTGAACTGGGTCTGTCCTTGGGATCCCCTTGGATACAGCTGGTGGCTGCAGCTGCCAGCAGCTGCCTGAGCAGACTGTGGCTTGAGCAAGGCCAGGAGCAAGCCCTGAGGAACAGAGGGCTGCTGTTCTCAAACAAGTGTGTTTTTATCTAACCTCCTGTCCCCAGATTGCGTTTCCAACATACAAGCATGGCTCAGAGAGTTTTGCTTGGAAAGTATATTTTTTGCTGTTGCTGCCACTTCCTTTGTTGCATGACCATTTCCACCACACATAGCTTCAGTAGTTACTTTGCCATGTTCCATCGAACCTGTGGGTGGGACAGCACAGGAAATGATCTGGAGCTTTAACTGATGGCCCTGCCTTTAAACCTATCCAGGTGTCTGCGTATGCATCTGTATTCTCCTCCTTTGCTGATCCACCCTTCCTTTTTTAATTTTTTGGGGAGGAGAGGGATATTCTTCAGAGAGGCCATGGCATAGGGAGGATGCATTATTTTCAAGCTCTGCTGCTGCTGTTAGCTGCGCAAACTCCTAAGAGATCAGCTGAGGCCCTCGCTGTTTATATCTGAAATGTGCCAGGAGGCAAATAGAGCTCGCACAGTTCAATGACAGATGCTCTTGTTATCATGTCTGGGGGTACATTCCTGGTGGTCATATTAAACAACAACAGCTAAAGTTGATTTCTTTCTTATCATCAGTTCCCTTTCTGTTCTGTAGACACCTGGAAGAAAAGGGCACCTACTTGATCACGAGGTATTTACTGATGAAAATAAGGATTATACTCGAAACAGTGTGACTATATGTGTGACAATAGGTGACAACAGCTCTTTTAGGAAGTTGATACGCTGATATTTCAGCAGCTTCTGTTTGATTACAAGTCTTGAGAGACTACACTGTATGCAACATACATCGGAAGAAAACATAACAAAGAGTCCACCTTAGGCAGGTTATTAGCTTACATGGAATGGAGATGGTGTCTGCTGTTCTCTTCATTTTGGCAGTGTTTGCTTTCACACCAGCACTTTAAGAAACATCCAGTTCCAAGAAGCTGGAAGAATATAGAGAAAAACATTTATTTTTACTCCAACCATATTTTTATGTCAACTTTCCAGTGCCTATTGTTTGAGTAAGCATAAACTTCACAATGCCATCTGAAAATAATCCCATAGACACTGTTTACTACCAAGAAATAAATCCATCTATTTAGTGCAGGAAAAGCACATCAACTGTTATTCTTACTGGTGGGATCAATAAGAAGAATACTAAAGTTAGCTGGTTTTGAGGTATTTTTCCTTTCCAGTCTTTTTCTCACAAGTTCTCCCCTGTTCTCTCCCCAGAACATCACCAGCTTTATCACCAGAATGTTCTGCAAACTTAACCAAAAGTGAAAGCATAACCTTTTCACATCCCAAGATATTATGGGCTGAAGTGAAAGAAACAGGTTGCCCATGACCTTCCCTTACAATATTATGAACCAGAAGGTTCCTAGTGAAGTCACTGGGTTATCAGACTTCAGGCATACTGGGGAGGAAAATCCAGTCACTGGTAAGTGTCAAACTCATCTCTCCCAAAAGAAAAAGTAATGGTGGATGTGTCAGCTACTGCATAAGAATAAGGGCAATCTTAAAGATTAGCATATGTAATCAAGATGTCACTTTATGAGGGAGTGCGCTAATCCCTATGTTGCAAGAGGGGTGCGTAACTTCCTCTATTGGAAGAAAGGTGAGCTGGTGCACTGTTGCACATACTGATAACCTAAAAGCCTAAAGACACATTTAAAGCTGTATATCCCAGTTGCAAAGAGGATGTGTTTAGGCTCTGGGCCAGGTACACTCTACAGCACTCCTGATTTCACAGCTGAGTCCCTGCCAGAAGCTTGCAGTACTCCCTTCTGGGGTGTGCACCCAGATTTTTCCCATGGAAGTAAGCACATGGCCTAGGGAAATGGGATGACATGTTAAAGTCTAAACAGGACAAAGATGGGATGCCTTTGAGACGTGTGCCTAGACTCAGGACCTAGGAAGTGCTTCCATGCACCATAATTTAGACACAGCTGAAGGTACCTAATGCATGCAAATTCATGTTGCAAGCACTTCAAAAATGTTCTTTCACATTACTTATTTGATGACTTATCCAGGCAGTTGCTGAACAAGCCATTTAAATGCCTGCAGAATATCCACTCTGGAAGCCATCCTTTTCTTCAGCTTTTACTTGGCCTTATAATTTCGATAATACAATAAATACTGTAATTCTGTCTGCCATTTCATTTTCTGCATGCTTTTAAGTACACTGCTTTGGATTAATTTAAAGCCCAGTGTCTCTGCTCCTGTTTTGTCCTTGCAAACAGACATTCCAGATCCAGAAACAGTTAAATTTAGTAAACATTTAATGCTCATCTCCTGCATAATTTAAACTGACACACTGACCTAATTAGCTTTTTGGCATCGCAAACACTCTCGGCCTAGGGAGGATGGAGGTTCTGTGGCAGTAATAGGAACCAGATATTTCTTGTATTGTAAGCATCTCAAATAGGACACTTAAGAGACTCCAACAATGGCAGTTTGGATGAAGAAGTAAGATTAAATTGGACTAAAAGTCTATCAGCAATATCAATTTAGGAACCTGAATCATGAAACAAATATCTTTACTTAGTTGAGGTTAACTGATACAAGTTTAGCATGGTAGGAATAAAAGTAAAGATCCTCTCGTTTTCTTTGGTTTTTGTGGTTTTGTTTTGTAACAGCTGTATGATGTTTAAAGGCCTCAAATTTCTTAGCATATTAGATAAACGTTTTATAGAATGTATCTTCTAAAATTATTTAGAGTTCTGAAGTTACCTATCCATCATTTATCAACTTCTAATAACAAAGCCCTTTGAAAACATAATATTAACTTAGATATATGGGGAATTTATAAAGCACTTCGTTTTACTTATGTTCACAAAAGAAACCATGCTATCTTGAGTCCTGTACAGTGAGTGGAAACAGTTCCTTGACACACAATCACTCAGTGAGTGGATAATGAACTGTTTAAAACCTGCAACTTGTGTCTCTTTACTTTGTATGAGGCACACAGCTGGCAAATACACAGCACAATGAGACAGAAGACCTGTAGTTATATCAGCACTGGCTTACCTCTGTGACTATATACACCTGTGACATGTGTCCTTTCTGCCCTCATCATAGCGCCAGAGGAAGGGAATGTCGGGAGTGACCTCAGTGATGCACTGTTCTGTCCCAGGATAGGCTAGTGTTTAATTATATTTGTTTAATTTGCCTTTAAGACCTTCAATGATGAAGCTTCTACAGTCTCTATGGTCCCTGCCTGCTGGACTCTGAGCTCAGAGCACCTGCACGAAGCTTTGATAAGGTACTTGTTGGTGGGCAGGTCTGCAGTATCCCCAGGCTTGCTCCTGGATGTGATGTCAAGCTCTCTGGAGCCTGTGCTGAAGGGCTGGTCAGGCCCTGCTCCTGCTTGCGGCTTCACCTATTGCCTGAATTTGGAAGGGGGTTACTAAATGCATGTGATACAAGGAAGTTAGCAGTATCACAGTATCACACTATCACAGTATGCTGGAGATTGGAAGGGACCTCAAAAGATCATCTAGTCCAATCCCCCTGCCAGAGCAGGAACACCTAGATAACGTTACACAGGAATGTGTCCAGGCGGGCTTTGAATGTCTCCAGGGAAGGAGACTCCACAATGGGCAGCCTGTTCCAGTGTTCCGTCACCCTCACTGAGAAGAAGTTCCTTCTCAAGTTTAAGTGGAACCTCTTGTGTTCCAGCTTATACCCATTACCCCTTGTCCTATCATTGTTTGCCACTGAGTAGAGCCTGGCTCCAACCTCGTGACACTCCCCCTTTATATATTTATAGACACTTATAAGGTCACCCCTCAGTCTCCTCTTCTCTAAACTATAAAGACCCAGCTCCCTCAGTCTTTCCTCATAAGGGAGATGCTCCACTCCCTTAATCATCTTGGTTGCCCTGCGCTGGATCTCTCCAGCAGCTGTCCTTCTGTCCCAGAACTGACACAATATTCCAGATGCTCACCAGGGCAGAGTAGTTTATCCCAGGATGCCATTGGCCTTCTTAGCCACAAGGGCACAGTGTTGGCTCATGGTCATCCTGTCGTCCACTAGGACCCCCAGGTCCCTCTCCCCTACACTGCTCTCTAGCAGGTCGTTCCCCAACCTATACTGGAACCTGGGGTTGTTCCTGCCCAGATGCAGGACTCTACACTTTCCCTTGTTATATTTCATCCCGTTATTCCCTGCCCAACTCTCCAGCCTGTCCAGGTGTTGCTGGATGGCAGCACAGCCTTCTGGCGTGTCAGCCACTTGCTTAGTGTCATCAGCAAACTTGCTGATAAGTTCCCTCATCTAAATCATTGATGAATATATTAAATAATACCGGCAGGTCTGCTACAACTCTCTGGCTTCTCTCCTTCAGCCAGGCCGTGAGGATGCTGTGGGAGACTGTGTCAAAGGCTTTGCTGAAGTCAAGGTGCTCTGCCATCATCCATCCACCGTGTTATTTCCTCATAAAAGGCTAAGAGATTGGTCAAACATGATTTCCCCCTGGTGAAGCCATGTTGACTGCCCCTCATAACCCTCTTATCCTTGATATGCTTTAAGATGGCACCAAGGACAAGGTCTCCATCACTTTCCCAGGGATGCTGCTGAAGACCGGAGTGACATTTGCCTTCCTCCAGTCCTCAGGCACCTCTCCCGTTTCCCAGGACTTGGTAAAGATGATGGCTTCACCTATTCCTGGAATGGATTTATGGACGTCCAGATTGGACTAAGGCAAGGGGGACTTCATCTAAATGCAGCAGAGTAGATACAAGAAGGCATTCAGTAACTCTGCCATCTCTGCATCTTCTGTCAGTTTCATCAGTGGGCCTACATTGCCTCTGGTGTTAGTTTTGTCTGCCATGTACTGTACACATGCCGTGTACAGTAGCACTCAAATGATCAGAGAAACAGAAGAGAAAGAAATCTTCAAAATGTCTTTCTAGCAGATACTTGTAATTACTGGTATTACAGTACTGGTCAAAGCTGTTTGCTTGTTTACAATTCAGGAAGATTGGTGTGTTGCTGTCAGTAAAACAGAATGAGAATAAAACACTTTTGCCTGTTTCACAGAGAGAGAAAATGTCTCTCACAATGATACTCAAGAAAGAGTTTTCAAGAGTGTTCATCTCAAACCCAGTTTGCTACCAATTAAGCTAATGTTAATCAGCTTAATGCTCATGCTAATACATAAGCATTTTACTGAGGAAAGGATGAGAGGTACGAGTCATCCCTGCCTTGGACACTGCTGACAAGTAGCTTTCAATTGTGCTGCTGTCAGTGATAATACACTGTGCTGAGAGGGTATTTAATTTCTCTCCAGTTTCTTTTGCTGAAAGAAATAATTGAAGGTAGAAGCAGTCCATGACTACATTTAGCCAAAAAGATCTGGAGAGCACCTGAGCAGCTCATTCCACAACTGCGCTGGTTTTCAGTCTGGGATTTTGACAGTGAAATGATTTCCAGTAACATTTCCCTTTGGCCAGGGCAGCTTCTCACCCTGAGCTGAGGAAGGTGTAATGCCAAAAGGCTCTGCTTCTGCGTGAGTCCTTGCTGGGGAGGAGTGCTGAGGCATATTAAGTTTGCTGCCTGGCCATGAAAAAAGTACCCCATAGCTGACTCCATGTTCCATGTCCCTTCAGTGTCCTGGCACCCATCATCTTGGAACTTAGTCTAAAAATAAGAAAACATGTTGTGACCCAGGCCAGGGCACTCTGTTGAGAGATCATATGTCTTAGCTTGGAAAAGAGCATTTAATACCACAGTCTGGCACTTCACTGTGGCTTCCTGTTAAGTGCAATGGATCCAGGTAAAAAGGTCAAGAGTGCTGACATGTAATATATTAAGAAAGAGCTTAGCAAATCATTTGATGAGTGGAGGATCTAACGAGCATACTATTATTATTTTCTCCAACAAACAGTGACGGTACAAAGGCCTTTTAACTTACAATTTAAACGTGCCAGGAGAGTACTCCTACCCAAAGAAATGGGACATAATTTCGCGGTTGTGATTCCTGGGATCAGAGGGGGAGCAGTGCAGCCAGCCACTGTGCTCAGAAACTGACGATGATTTTTCGCAGTCGGTTCCTAAGGACGTTTCTTTCTGCAGGAAAAAAAAAAAAAAAAAAGAAAAAAAGAAAAAAAGAAAAAAAAAAAGCTAAATTTTAGAGCTCCCTCTGCTGGTCCTACATCAGGTTTCACTCACAACAGCCTGCTCTTCTCTCCGACTGCTCATTGTCACTTAACTCATTTAACGGGATGTTGTACATAGAAGGTTTTACACTGCTTATTAGAGCATGTGTCTCTGATAGTTGATATTGCATTGGAGAAAAATCTGTCATTTCTCTAACAAGGAGAGAAAATGTTTCCTCTTCTAAATCTAGTTTCATGCATAGTGCATGCGTGGAAGCATTTAATGGAAGCATATGCCCCTATTGCTCCTTTCTTCCCTGAACTCCTAATAGGTGTGCATTCGTGTTCTGTGACTACTTTAACATACCTGTCAGTCTGCCTTACTAAGTACAGACAAAGTAAACCAAGGAGAAGACACTGTGAAAATGCTGCGTGAGACAGTGCAAGCACACACCACCAAGAAACTAGGTTTTATACACCTTTACACAGCTTATTTAATTAAGTATTATGTGGTCTAAAACTTCCCTCACTTTCATTCAAAGTATTTCCTTCTTGCCATGTATGTAAATGGCACTACAGAGTTTCAGAGTTAGTTACACTAAGCTGTAACCAGGCTGTCCTGGGTTCAGCAGTAGCAGTCATTTTTTTCTCCTTCTTAGGTGCAGTGCTGTGGTTTTGACTTTCGGCCTGGGAACAGCACTGATAACACCAATGCTTTTAGTTACTGCTCAGATGTTTAGTCTGACCAAGGACTTTGTGAGCCTCATGCTCTGCCAGGGAGGAGGGGAAGCTGGGAGGAAGCAGAGACAGGACACCTGACACAAACTGACCCAAGAGGTATTCCATACCACAGCACATCATGCCCAGGATGTAAACTGAGAGTTACCCAGAAGGGCTGGTTCACTGCCTGGTCAGGATCGGTATCAGCGGGTGGTATTGTATTCTCTTCCCTTGTTATTTCCCTTATCACTGTTATTATTGGTGGTAGCAGCAGTGATTTGTTACTGGGCTGTTCTTATCTCAACCCGTGGAGTTACATTCTTTCAACTGGGGGCAGAGGGAAGAAAGGGGGAGAGTGAGCGAGAGGGCTGCGTGGCTCTGATTTACAAGCCTGAGCTTAAACCACGACACAGGCTCAATGTGCCACACAACACAATTGCATGGGTACTTCAGGTGCACGTGTAAAAAAAACAACCAAACAAATGAGAGAAAACGCAGACGTCAGAAACAGCTTATGCTCAAGGTACTGCTCAAGTGTCTTTGTCTTCATTACAAAGGGAGCTCAGGGGTTGGGGGTGGGTATCAATTTTCTCACTTATAACTTTAGGGCTGTTAATCCAAATTATCAGAGATTAAAATGAACCTCTCCATTTTGATAGGCAGCAGCTTATCACCTGTTGCCTTGCATCAGGCATGCTATCCACATGTGAGTTTGCAGAATAGCTCCAAAGTGCATGGGATCAAATCTGAGGCTCAAGCCCTTCTGGGGCATACTTTTGCTATGCATGCAACAACCCTCCCTGCAAAAATCAGTTTTCTACTCTGACCTTTTTTTTTTTTTGTGATTAATACAAAATAGTTTTAAAGGATAAAATTTCATTATGCTCAAGTATTTTCTGAACGGATTCAAAGGGTCTGAAAATAGATTATAGAACTTTTCTTGTTTTCTTATAGTTAAGCCATTGTTTTTTGCAGTTAAGCAGCAATAAATTCCAACTAACCTGCGGTCTGCACATCAAATTGTAGCCTATAAAAAAATTTAACAGGGGAGGTATACAGCCCTCAATGAGCCTGTCAACTAATGGGAGAGCCATAATGTAATTACAGGAACAGCTGATTAAATCAAGATAGCATTTAACAGGAGAACATAATTTCAACTCTAATGATTATGTTAGATTACATCATCATTCCAGTGACATCACTGAGAGGTGATTGGATATGGAACTTTAACTTTCAACTTTTGAACAATTTAATTTATATTTTTAAATCACTAATACAGGGGGAAAACCCCACTTCTATTTTCTGTGTTCATTTTCTCATCGACCAGCACCCCCAAGTCCTTCTCCACAGGGCTGCTCTGAATCTCTTCTTTGCCCAACCTGTAGCTGTGCCTGGGATTGCTATCTTCCTAATATTTTGTGGTATATTTAAAATTAGTTTGGTGTGGGTCTTTGTTACTTATTTAAACAGGGCAAAGATCTTTCAGTGGCGCTGTTATCTCTAGCTATATAGTGGGGCAGAGCTGATGGTCACAAATATTCAGAAAGTGTAAA